ATCTTCTAAATTTTGCTAAACAAACATAAAAACGAAAATATTAATGAAATAATTTGGGTTAGGAGATATATAATCCAATAAAAAATTATCATTTTTAAAACATTGATATATTTATAAGCATAAATATTTAATTTCGACAAACATAATTTTAATTAATAATTTCATAAGTTTTAATAATTTATTTATCGAAAATTCCTTTACATTCTGCCAAATTCCTTTGTTACTATTTGATTCAAAATTATTTCGCTAGATTCAACAAAAAAATTACCAAAAATTCTGCCAGATTTCGTTGTTATTATTTAGACCCATTAATATAATCAATAAATAATTTTGAAAACGTGGCATTTTTTCAAAGATTTTGAAAGGATAGCAATTTTGAAAAGTGGCACTTCAAAAGTGGTATTTCTCAAAATTATTCTTAAAAATTCTGCAATATTCCGCAAGATTCAGTAGTTACTATTTGAATTCAACATTATTCTGCTGGATTCTGTAAAAAGTCATCAAAATTTCGTAAGATTCCACAATTTCGCAAGATTCTACGGTTACTATTTAGACCCATTATTAACTATAAGTAGGAATATATTGTAGAGGCTCAAAAAACTTGTGAGTCAGACATGCGTAGAATAGATCGGTTCATGTTGAGAATTGTAAATGTTAAAAAATAAAGAAGACTAACATCATTCCAAGTCGTCGTATAAGCACTATTTGTATTTGTTTATGTTTTAGTTAACCGTAGACATAACAAGTCAAAGCCGAACTAAAGTCTAAAACTAAGACCAAATTTGGACTTGGTCAGATAATCAGATTATCACAACGTCACTAAGAATGACTAGTTTTAATAGCATCTTGCATTTAAGTATTTATCTCTCGAGAATATATCGCTTCTATATATAGTTTTCTAGAATTCAAATTTGTATTATACCGTTAGTATGGGTATACAACTAGCAACAAATATAGTTGTCTAGGAATCCAAGAAAGTTAAAAACACAAATCGTGGGTTGAACAAATATGCGGAAGTTGTATTGCATATTTGTATTAGTATAATTCAATATGCATGCATTAGACAGTTGTCTACCATTGACTAGTGGTCCAAATCCTAAACTTTCCTTTTAAATCAAAAGTTTAGGATACAACTAAGAAGTTAAATAAAAACATGCATTATTAGTTGGGGGGTTTTATTTATTTTGTTGTAAAATTCAGTAGCTATTATATATATAGTTTTATATAATCGGGAATACTGATGCATTATGTTATTTACAAACTATATTAGTTATGAAAAACCTTTAAAATGTCTTGGATAATCGATCCGTGATAAATTAGTTTATTATCAACCTTAAAATGAAACGATGAAATTGGGTCAAATTAATTATTTGAAGTAAAATTGCCTAAAATAATTGAAAAATGGCGGAATGAGAAAATATGATTTTATTTCTGTCACTAACATAAATCACAGTTTCGTATGGTTATCTGATTGATACATAAATTAAAAGTTGCAAAACATGTCGTCATTCCATGTGTTAGTAATTAATGTTGTAGATATGCAACAACTAGGCAATGGTTATCTATTTTTCTGAAATATTCTTACAAAAAAGGGAGATATTAGTTTTTTAATTAGAGAATTATCAACATATATGATTGTATATTACATGTAGTGTTATGGTTCCCCACTCTCTTCTCTCTTGCCCGATCAAGCCA